GGTCTATATTGAATTTACTAATTGGTACTGAATGGTAGGTGGTTATTTTATTATTAATTATTACACAATCCATATTGGTATAATATAACCCCAACATGTAATAATAATTTAGCTTTACTCTTGGTTTCACTAGGTAAGTTTACTTTGCATTTTGTTTTTTTACTTTATTTTACTTTGTTGTGTATTATATTATATTGTGAGCTTTTTAACAGACATGTTGTAGTATTTGTATTGTCCAGTGTACTACTATGACCCAATAAGTACAATTATTTAAAATTATATATAATATCAATTCTTTAATATATATTTTTTGTAGTCTAGGACAGCTTGCTTCTATGGCAGGAATTGACCAGTCTGATTTTGGACCACTGGGAGTCCCTCAGCTTTCTTCTACTGTTGGTACATGTAAAAAAGGAGGCAGTGAGGAGACTGAACACAAGAGAGATGAAATGCCTTCAGGAATACAGGTAGGTGAAGCTTATAATTAAATCAGTAAAACCGAGTGTGGAATGGTATGGTTTTTTGACATAATAATACAGAATCTTTCATAATTTAAGGTTTACCTTTGGTTCCAAAAGTGTACCTAAACTGTAAAATTTGAGAAAATAGAATGGTGATATTCATTGAAATATGAAAAATATCGAAGAAGAGATTGTTGACAGTTATCACAGATTTTGTGAAATACATTAATACTGTATATATTTTTCTGTTGAAATACTTTAAAAAAATAATAATGTAATTATGCTTTGGAGTGCATCGACTTAAGAGTAGGCATCTATTCATGAGACTATGTGTCAACCCTTAAACATTTTTTTTAAACTGGCAGATGCCATGCACATAAACTGTTTCAAAGTGGAATCATAAGATACTTTCTGACATCTGATTATATAAATTAAGGGGGCAGTCCCTAAAGAGCACTATGTTTGATAATGCACAGATTGTTAAATGAAATTGATTTGCTTTGATTCATTTTCAGTCTGTGAAATCATGGAGAATTTAGTGAATCTTGTTTTAATTAATATAGTGTTCAAGGATTAGCATGTAAAACATTTGTAAGTAAAATTTCAAGCCAGTAAACTAATGGAATGCATTGCTAGTCTATAGTTCTAGTTCTGTATATTTTCCTGGTTAATGAGCATGCAAATATTGTGAGCTCTGCAAAAATGACCATTGAGTCTTGAAGGACGACTATACTGTATGCTAATATAATGAGATTTTGTCCAATTAAAATTAATTAAGGCGTCTGGAAAACAAGATTGCTGTTAAAAAAGGCTGCTGAGTCTGTCTTCTTGGCCAGTCAGTCACATGGCCTTCAAGTGCTGTGCAATTAATGAGTCACTAATTTACCATATGTACTGTATAATTTTTTTAACCAGTCTTTTTAAGATTAATGTTTTGAGGAAAAGGTTTGTTACAATATGAAAAGCTGCCTTTGTCATCTTAGCAGCTAAGAATAATGTATAGTAGTCGCTGGCTTTTTTGTGTGGTGGTTCTTCTTTTAAATGTTTAAATTAAATTTCCTTCATGCTACTATGTTTTTATGTGTGTCATAATACATTTCAATTAAGGAAATGCTATTCTTTAAGATAGCAAGGCCTTTTTTAAGCTTTGTGGGTTTTTTGTAGATCAGGACTAGAACCATAGACTGTGTCTT